AATTACCGAGCCTCTCGCCAAGATTTCCCTTGAGATTGATATGAAATTTGGCCCAGTAATGATCTATTGTGCTCCCCATCGAGTCTCCGGGGATGGATGGTATTGTTAGTCCAGCCGCTGTCTTTATTTGGGGCTGATTTTTGTGGCATTGATCCAAGTCATCAATAACAATGTCGGAATGTTAGCCAGTAAGGAAAACAACAGATTACCGTCAGGGAACTGCAGAAGGACCATCCATCTCCGGCTGATGGGGGATAGTTACGCTTCTTACCAGTATTCATGTCATACAGGGCAGTGCATTGAGACTGATGTTCACAGTGCGTAGATACATCATAGAGGTCATTTCAGCTGACATAGATTGGATTGCCTTTCAGTCCAGTTACATCACCGAAGTCTGTTGAGCTTGTATCGGCATAAACTCCAACGTGGTTTCCAAAGTGGCTTTTCTGACATACCAGTATATTCCCTGACATTCATAACAGCTCTAAAGCTTACTAGTCTACTATACTTATAGATCTTTATGAGATTTTGTTTATGAATAGTCCTGGATATATCCGTATCAAATTATCATTCCTCAGCTGTATTTATCTGTGGTAGAGAAGATCAGAGCTTCATCCAGGGCATAACTAATGCGCCTATTGTACACACATTACAGGCGGGAGTGATCATTATGATAAACGTTCTATTCAATTGATATTTTGTTCTTTATCAGGGAAAGGTCCGATGAAAGCCCTTATCATTATCCATTATGATCTTTATCGCATAACAATCGGGTCTGTGAGAGCCTGGCAGATAAAGTGCCTGAAAACAACATCCATCACCCGGTCGTCAGCAGGGTTTATACTGAGCAGGCGACGAGTTTTCCCTCCATAATACAGCGTGGTGCTTGTCGATGTCTATCTCCTCTCCATCTGTCATGATGACCCTGATTAGACGTTAGGCTAAGCCTCCAGTCTCCGGCAGGATTAAGACTTTTCTTCTTTGTCGTCAATGCAAGACGGGGACGGCCGTTGTTTCTGCTACCCCGGGGCCAGCCATGTTTGTTTTTCAGCGCGGTTTGTTCACTTGCACCCATCCGCAGTATGTACACATCCGACTACCCGTGGCCAGGTTAGCAGACGATGGCTCACACGTGGGGTGGTGAGCTGGGTGTTGACGGCAGGCTGGATTTAAAAGGAAACGGGCGCGTGTTAGGCACGCTGTACTGGGCACAGACAAATAAGTAAACACAATGTTTACTTGTTTGTCTCCGACGGAACTGCACCACAGGTGTTTACTTACCTGTCTCAGGTGTTTACTTACCTGTCTCAGACTGAACTATACCCTATCGTGCCTGCCTCAGTCACTGGACTGATCTTCTGCGTCAAGCTTGTACACTCGTAATATTGGTCCACCAGGCAATGTGATAATGTCACAGTTGATAATATTGTTATAACAGTACACTGTTTATTGCCTCTTCCACTGTTAGTGTTATGGGTGACTTGCTATCCATATTCCGTGGGAAAACTGTGATGGTTACTGACAACTTACGGAAGTGTGAAACTTAAGATCAGTTGTAGCTATACGATGACTAGGTTCTAAGGCTGACTCAGGTTCTGAGAAATTGTCGTGGATCGAGTCTGCATCGCCATGCAGAAAATTGAATTCCTCTCCGCTAAGCAGATAACATCTTCCAGTCAGTGAAAAGGAGAATTTGTGCAGGGTAATAATTAGAGAATAGGAGGGGGAGAAGTTACTGTGCAGGTGTGCATTCATCATGGAACAGCGCATTGCTGTCAGGCCTGGGATGGCTGAGATAACCTTTCTCTTCACAGAGATAAGATAGTAGGACCAGTCTCCAAGCAGATCCCACAGTGGCAAGATAGTATCCATTGGCCAGAGCTGTGATTATTGGCCACCTCGGTGGTTAATGGTTACAGGGTGGCCAATGGTCACAGCTCTGGTCGTAGGATCTGCTTGGAGATTACCATCAAGTGCGTAAGTTGGGCCCCCAGTATGTACTACGATTTATCATTAGCTTCATTAGATGAAAGTTTAAGAATGAAGATTTTCTCCTAATGTAAATGTCTTTGATGACACCCTGGCGATGACATCAACGATAAGCAGTTGATATGAGATTTGATTGTGTTGGCATATTGAATAGTAGGCATTTCATCGGCCTCGTAAGACCATGAAGAAGAATTTTCTTCTACAGGCATATTGAATATTACGTACGTATCAAACAGTAGCTACACCCTGGAGGTGTCCTGCCTGTATTGTACAACAGTCTCATCCCCTTCTGTCGGTGACACTATTGTTGTTTCTTCACAAGTAAGGAGCGGGTTTAACTGTACAATGTATCAAACAGGCGGCTTATATGCTTATACTGGAGTCAAAGGACAATGGCATTGGGAGGTTCCTGGAGGCATTGTGAGGTGGTTGATGTGTCTGAACCAGGATATCCGCTGAAAGTCTTGAGAAGAAAGGGTTTTCCTGCCGCTACGTTATCATGTGGTTTCATCCTAGGTGTGGGCAGAGCTTTGCCGATCTTGGTGGCACAACGAGATGACGCCTTACTGAAGTCACTAGCCTCTACCAGGCTTCGGAAGCGACTAAAAAGAGTAGGGACTGACCAAATAGACACTTAACATGCCGGGGGAGTACATTTGCCTCTCTCTTTCACGGAGCAACTTCCCTGGCATGTTATCTGTCTATTTTTTCTAGTCGTTTCTGAAGCCTAGTAAAGGCTATGGAATCAGAAGAAAGCGTTAGACTTGGAAGTGGATTTTAGCGCAAACCACATTTCCCTTAGCGGTGTCAATTAGTTCAACCTCATCTTCTCTAGGGTCTTGTTTGGAACTTTGTTTTAACTTCTTGCATGATTGGAAGTCAGAAATGGTAATGGTCAGTGTTGTTTATGTCAGGAAGCATTGTGATGGGGAGACTGATTTGTTTTTCGCCGTTGTTATCAATGGCGACACGCTGTTCGGAATACTTAGCGATAATCTCGCCAACTTTTAGACAATCGTCATCAGCTTGTTGATTTACGAACCAGAACCACCCCGAAACCCATAAAACGTTTAGCTTCTTTTTTTACGTCTTTCATCACTTCATGTGGAAAAATGCCGCAACAAAAGGCCGCCTGCTATCGTTTTGAATGAAAAACGGGTATTTTTCGTTATCTTCATGTAATTAGGTCCCTTTACAGCACATGTCAGTGTATCCTTGAGGACGGCTGACAACTGGCAATTACTACCGTCCAGGGACGTAGAATGCCTTCGGGAAATCTACGAAGGTCTCGTCCTGTTGAATTCCTCTGCACAACTCCACGACAACGTGATGTCCACATATATCAGTAACTGTAACACCGAACATACAAGACTGCACAGGCACGGTCTGTAAACCAGGCCACAAATGTCTCAATTTTTCAGGTATGACGATATCTTACCGTGAGTTGATGTGGAATGTGATAAGGCTGACAAGCAGGAAGACATCACCCCAGGACACAATACGATACCGGGCACCGAAAACGCTACAGTGATATTTTACTCTGGGGGGATGAGGCCTCCGTGAAAGTCGATACACCAACTATCATAGCTGATCACTACTGATAAGTCATCGCTTCCTGTGAGAAGCTATTTACTACAAGACGTTTAAAAGGCACTTAGTCTGTTTTCTCTTGTACATATAATGGGTTACGGAAAAGGGTAATGTTTCCATAAAACATCTTAATGCTATTTTTCTATCCTTCCCAGCTTGATTCCTGTTTCTTGACGCTCTTAAGCGTATCAGTGTCTCAAGGAAGAAACCTAATGGCATAGACCCCCCCTCATAAAGAAGGGCCTTTTCCTTCCCATATTCACATAAGTCATAACTTGTTGCAACATGAATACATTGTATAAAATGCTGTAACTGCTGTGACTAACGCTGTGTAACCTGCTGTAACTTAGTACTATGACTAAGACATGAGACACAGTCTGTCCCTGACATGTGCGTCTTCATTACGGCATAATTGAGCGGCTTTGGACGCATTTCTGACCACCCGTCTGACCAGAACAAGGTATCTTCTCTCAGATCAACCCCCACCCGTCCGCCCACCTCCACCCAGACCTGGCGGCCGCAGACAGACATAATGTTATTACCTCCGTCTAACGGTGGAGAACTCTCCCTGTAAGGCCACGGGTATAATAGGAACAGTAGTTAGAGTCGCCGTGTGGACGTCTTTAGAAAGTCTGATGTTTTCAGACGTGGTATCTCGTCCGCAATCGGTCTCAACTGTCGTTATGCGCACTCCAGTGCATCAGTTCTTGTTATTTGTATATCTATACACTGTAGAAGCCTAATGTCTATCTTCGGATGGGACGCAACTTTCTATGAAAAAGACCTTGGTTTCATGCACGGGTTCGACTGAAGATGGTTGGTGGCATGATACATAAACTCCTACAGTACGGCAATGCTGTAGCATCTGGTAGTGATGGTGAGAGGGACAGAGGTCTCAGGCAAAATCAAATTCGAGGAAATTTTTCATCTACTGTAGAAAAAAAACCTGTTAAAAATTGGAAGGATTGTTTAGTTCTCGACAAGTCCTCCGCGCAAAGCTGAAGTCAGAACATGCTTGTACAAGACTACCCGAGGTTGGACCGCGGCGATGTTGACACAGGTTCTGAGGCGTACTCTGCGGTTTGATGCTGATGGCTTTTGTAAGTAGTTAGACATTGTCAGCCCGCCTGTTTTACACACTAAACAGTTCCTATTTACTCGTCCCAGCGACCTTTACAGGTGCGCAGTGCTGTTGGTCTCGATCTTGAATTACGGGGAGGTAATTGGACATGGGCGTGTCTGGAAGGGCGTGAAGGATTTCCAGCCGCCTTCATTTCTTAAACTCACAAAGAAACACATATTTGGCATACTTGCCGTCGTCTCCAATTGTCACATGTCAAGGATCAGTTGAATAATTCATAGAAGCAAACGTTAGTAAACATCGCAGTAGTGCGTCGTGTTGGCAGGACTTTTAGACCTACCGTATGTCTGTAAACACAACTTATAGCACCCCAGGGTCAACGACAAGGTAGGTATAAGATGTCAGAAGTCTCCTCACGCAAACGGGCCATCCATTGTCGGGGCAGAGCCCGGGAAATAAAGACAAGACGGGACAGAAAGCTTTCAGGTCCAGCGGAATATCGGCGGCGCAGGAACGCGTGAAACGGGACGGGCTTTCAGGGGGGCTGCGCAGCTGGCAACAAACAGTCTCGCTTTCAGCCGCAATTTCTCGCCAGGTGTGGCCGGACCGCAGTCATACCTGTTGTCTCACCTGAGATCTCATCAAGGGGGCGTAAGGTCTTATTACACCTAAACTCTTATTACACCTTTCATCTACCGTTTTGATCATCAAAACCTCTGGCGAAACAAAGTTTTTTTCCAAATGACTAGGAAATTCCAGACTAACGCTCGCATTGCCTGTTCGATGAATCTGCTGGAACGTATTTCTGACAGGGAAAATAGACAGTAAGCTGGAATTCTTTTGTCCCGGTAATATGTTCAGTCAGCCACCACCTCGCCTGTCATCAACATGTAATAAACACATGTCAGAACGGGTAGGAGATGGGATTAATCCGCGCATGGTCGCGTGACTCGGGTCAACTCAGGACATCAGGATACTGAAGCTCCGGAAAATAAGAAACTGAAACGTCAGAAGCTATGGTGATGTATATGTAGATCTAGTCTTAATAGGTACAGTACAAAGTCACATTTCTACATAGAATCGTTGATTACGGTAATAGATCTGATATGGAGGGACATTGCCATAGATGGGTCATTCCGAGTCGCCTGGCGTGAACCTGAAGTACCGGTCATCCATCAGTCCTCCTTCCCTCATCCCTCGCTCTCTTTCTCTGTTTGTCTGTCTTTCGTTCTCCCGTACGTGGTCGTCTCCCAGACTTTCACAACACGCCATGGATAGTAGAAATAAACTTCCTAACACCTGGCATTGGTACTCAGCAATCGCAATGCTTGGGGATCCCTGTGTCGGCCACCAGAAAAGGTCATCCAACAATACAATAAAGGTGTGTATGTTGATGGACATGTCTTCAGCCTGAAAGTTCAGGTAGACATGACATTCCACCTTGTATCAACACAGTCTTGCTGCCCCAATATGTCTACTGTCCAGTACATTAGAGCCTGCATCTAGAGACTTGAATAATATGAAATAGACTTCGGCTTTCGGTGTTCAGTCAGCTCTCTGAGGCGGCCTCACGTAATCTCTACCCATGTCATGACAACTCTAATTACCGTTGAGAGAATTCTAATGGCAGACTCCTCAGTGCATTGTCCTGTCCTAAGTGTTCCAAGAAGAACGGCTGGTATGACTAACCGTTGGTAGTATGCCGCAAACAACAGGTAATTATTACATAGATAATGAGAGATGTGAGTGTGTCAAGGTTGCCTGTCTTTGATGATATCGCCGTTCTTTGAAAAGAAAATACCAGAGAATCCTGCTCTTCTATGTAAGATACTCTCCCCCAGGCACACACCAGCGCTAATGTTTCTGCTCTTCTTCTGTGCACGGTAAAATTAGAGGGTGGATGTTTGTTTGAAGAGTTTGTTCCCATGCCTTCAGAAGCTGCGTGCCGCCGGCCTGCGTGCCTGTCCCCGCCCGAGGCGCTACACCTGTGCGGCCTGGTCCTCCTCAATTTCCACCGCCTCTAATTGTGGTGAACAGCACCGTTTGTTCTCACCTGCGCGGTGTATCGCCGTACATCATCATAATCACCGCCTTCCAGCCCCCCTCCCCACAACAAAGACTCGCACCCAACCGCCTGGAAGAAGTCATCCCGGTTCATGGGACAATGTGGCGTAATGGTCGCCGCTAGCCCTCGGCGCAATCTTTTAAGGTGATCACACCATACTGTAGCAGGCGAACCAGCGGGGCAATTTCACGGTAATTAATTTAAACCATAAAGTCGCTACTTTAATGTGGTTTGTTCCATACTCCTGGTGGCTGGAAGAGGCAGATATTGGGTAAATAACCTACCAGAATTAATAATCTGCCAGCGGCGTTCGAAGACCAAAGAAGAGCCACTAGGCTGGCTCCTCCACAAAGCATTCACCTCATTTGGACAATGTATACTTCTTTTCACTTCCTGAAAGGACTGATAATTTGGCAAAAACATATCCTGAACCACCGTTGATAACGACGTACTGGAAACTTTTCTACGCTGCTGTTTGAATGCTGATTCCGCCCAGTGCGGACCATCCCGCGCACATTGTTCCCATGTTGCGTGATTACCCGTAATGTCGGTGAGCAGAGGTGTAATCTAGGGTATAATTACCCCCAGACTACGTGCTTATCTTACCGTTTGCTATGACTTCAGCGCAGCTCCTAAGGCATGGCGCAGAATGAGTCCCTGTCATTAATGCCATACTTACTCATTAACTGCTTCTGTGTAATTAGCGGTGATTACGGTGTTCTGGTGGCGGTATTGTCAGGGGACTGACTCCCGTACCACCTGAGTTGTACGTAAGAGGACAGGAATTTGGCTCGTACCATCTACTCAAGGTCTTCTGTATAGATATTTCAAAGACTTCAAAATACATAGGACGAATGTAACCGCACCTTAAAGGTACTCAAAGTTATTGCAGGGCAGTATTTTTAAAGTTAAGTCAATTTTCTGGTAACTTTTAAAAATGTAGAAAGTTGAATTAGCCCTATGCTACTAGCATACTGATATCTGTGAGGTAAAGATATGATGTCGGTGACGGAATACGATTGTTTGTTTCGTATCGTAACCTGGTTCTTGCTATTTATTAGTGGTACCCCAAATACAGGGACTTCTCACGTAGCTTATTTTTGGGGCTATTTTAAGTTTCCAGTATGAAATGATGACGAAGCGATAGTAAATGACAGATTTCCTCACCCAGAATATTTTTGTTTTGCCACTGAATGACAAATGACGTCCATGACCAGCCCAGACTACCAGGCGACAGGCCGGCAGTAACGTTTGTCACTGTTAGATGGAAAACGTTGTCTTCAAGTCCCTATTAGTATTGATGAACAACGTGCTTGACTGATGGTCAAATCATCACATCCAATAGAAAATAAGTACGACATAAATGCTGCATCATGCCCCCCCTCCCACCACACACACGTCAATGCATCTATATTAGATACTATTCTAAGAAACGTTATTTGTGCCAATCATGGAGTTACTGGTGATTTTAATCCGATTTACCTCTTGAGCCTGTGGTTGCAACAGAAGTGACTTGAAGTCGAACAGTGCAGGCATTGATACCACAGAGGATGCGGTTTTCCTGACATCATTTCACTCTTGACCTCACCTGTTAACTTGTGTAACTAAAGTCACTGCTTCCTTCCCCGTCTTTTATGCCAGTTGCTAATAGCGCAGCATTACTAAGGCTTGTTCCGGACCAAGTTAATTTTACCAGGAGAGCAGTGGACTACAGTAGGTACCAGCGCCTTTGCTGTCCACCTAAATGTTTAAAGTCAGACTCAAGAGCAGAAAACAGTGTTACTTTCTAAAAGACCACATTTTCATTGATACAAAATAAACCAAATTTGTAAAATGCACTTACAGATTAACAGAATTGAACTATTTATAACTGAGCAGTGCTCCTCCATGCAGACCCATTGTGGGAATGATGCCGACCTTTAGTATGGATTCCAATGGGATGATTGCTGGATCCAGGTAATTTTGTGGCTCAAAGCAAGAGGAAAATTCAGATGTTAAGGCGGAAAATTGATGAAGAACTATCCACTCCAACATTACAACGTGATCTCTCATTTCAAAGTCTTCTGTGTATTTTGAATTTTACTATACATCAAAACCATTTCCCAATGCTTATAACATGATGACTAGAAAATGAATCAACAACACAGAGAACACGTAGTCTGTTACAGATTATTTCTCCACGACTGCGCTCGTAGTTCAGTTTGAATAATGAATAACATCCTGACTGATAAGATCAGTGACCAGTGGGTGTTGTTAATGTAACGGCAAATGAAGAGGCGCTATGTCGGCTATTCACCCAGCAGATATGATGATTTGTCGTTCATTGAAAGCCGTGAAAGCCCCGGGAAGGGCAAGCGGTGATCCGTGTGATTTTCTCCCCGATCCGCCCGCCGAGGGTTGATGGGGTTCAAGACGGGGTCAGACCATTATCTCAGCTATTGTTCTCTTGTCAGGGAGTCTATACTTTTGAATGTCTGCTGCAACATTAGCTCGGCTGGCGACATTACACTGCAGCTTTGGTGCACAAAAATCAGACAAGGAATCGTTACTAGCAATACAAAATTCACCCAGCGTTTGGTATAAAAAAACTGACTATAAGGACTGATTCAACCATAATAAGCTGCAAGGAAGTCCATGAGACGTCCTTGTGAATTAATTGTAGTCTTCACACCATTTACAGGTGTTTAAAGACACGTCATCAGAGAAACAGGTGTTGTAGCTTCAGAAGTCTGTCGTTTGATACTTTCATATACGTTCTGAGGTACACCGACATTGACATGCCTTACTCTCATAGTGTTGTTTGTGAATTATTTACTTAGATGTAATTACAGGCACATGCAGTACATATACCATGCAAGCTATTGGAAGTCTATATTGATGAATATGGATATATATGAAGCGAGGAGTGGATATATGTGGCTGTTTTCCTATACCAACTAGAGACACAGTCGACACTGTCTAGCAGAGGAAGTTTCTCGACAGTTGCAGGATGTGAGATTGTTAGTAAGATAAGGAAAGGTGCGTAAACAGCCCTGGGGGTGGCGTGTTTGCAGGTAAAGCTAGCGAGGTGTGTGTGGTCCGACACTACTATATCTACTATTGTCAGGATTAAGACAAGGGATAAAGCTGACTTAAGAACTCTTGGACACAGTCGGAACTTCAACGTCATTACGTTCTTAGGCATGATTAAGGGAAGGTTGAATTCTGCAGGTTTGTGAGGATCTGAGAGATTATTTGTCGTCTCTATAGAAAATTCTATCTGGCTGATGAATAGGATTGAATGAGGAATGTCTCCTGTTGTCTACTAGAGCCTGCCGTGCTTATGACAAAGTGTCGGCAGGGTAAAACACAAGGGCGGGACATGTAGGTATTATAGACTGTCTCTATTCTTATCGTCTCATCTCTGAATGCAAAGTGCATGATCACTGACTCAACGGTAAGGATATGTCTACAGGTCACATGTGATGCTCTGTATCCCAACAATAGTGTCACATACTCTATAAATACAACAACACAATGACAGATAATACGTGTGCGTTTTTAGAGCTGGGTCATCAAAAAGGTGTCTTTACTGTTAACAGTCATGAGATAAAAGTCAAGTTTTGCCTCAAATATTGTTTAGCGGATGTGCAGTTGTTTGTGTTGCAGGTTGTCTGTGGTCAAAACTGTCGTAATCTAGGCTTAACATTATAGGGTAGAACCGCTTTTGTGTGGTCTCTATACAGGTAAACAACCAATGTCATAACATTCCTTTTCAAATTGAATAGCTTTTCATCCCGTAGTATCCTAGCACTAAGTCATAACTCCCCCGTCTGTCCTACTGTGGGGTGCGGGAAGGTCCCATGTTTCCCACACAGCTCCATGGCACTTCATGTAAACACGTCAACGTCTGCTCTCCTGGGGGCGACACGAGCTGGCAAAAACTCATCTACAAGCAGATATTTTGGAGGCTGCAAAGACAGTATCAAATTGGCCTCACAGTATCCATTTGCCGGGCAGTTACCTTTTGAAAAGGCCCGATGAAACGCCTCAAAACTCGTCATAAATAAGCCTAAACATTAGTACATATGATAAGGTTTGGAGAGCAGGCCCACTCTGGGGCTGGGACTAGTTGTACTATGGCCACTACATCGGTCCTCATCGGTAACATCAGTGTGAAAAAAAATTAAAATGGTCAGCTTGTGGAAGGTTCATAAAAATCCCAATACTGATGAAAGGCGTTTACCTGTAACCAGAGTTATACCAGTGATTCAATACCGTTCAATACAAGGATACCAGCTACTGAAGTCCTCTCAGATCATTAGCCAGGAGCAGAGGCAAATCTTATCTCCAGGTACTTTGAAAATGATGTACATTGTATATGAATGAAGGACATTTATTGTACGTTTATGCTCTTACAAGCTATGTACAGGTCATGGATATAAAGCATGGGGCATGGGAAAACCAACAGCTATCAAAGCTATTGTTAGTTTGGTCCACTTTGTGTGAATGATGTAACTTATACATATGTACAATGTGAAGACCGAAGTCTCTAATCAGGAGCCATTGCCGTCTTGCTCGTTAGGACGAACCCGTTTTGTCCGGTTCTCAGACGGTAATGACACACGCTATGTTGTCAAAAGACAGCTGGTCGGCGGAAAAGTCAATAGATTTTACAGTCACTGGAGAAATACAAACATTTCTACATCAGTTCAGTTCACTCCGATTGTTGCATAACGTGGCTTTGTGGATAAGGGGCTGAAGATTCCAAGCTAATTCCAAGGCTTTTTTTATTACGTGGCTGGCTTTAGGGTGGTCAAAGGGCTTGGTTTCATGGATTGTCTGATGGCCATTCACACGTATAATAGGTACATAGTAATCGGACATGAACAAGGGTTTCAAAGTTGTTCGTTCTTGGACCTTTGTCGTTTCAAAAATGTCTTGACTTAGTCAAAGGTCATTCTTTAGCCATGTATACATCAATGTACACACCTATATCTATTCAATGCAGTCTTCATTATATAGCTCACCACAATTGATAGTGTACACAATGGAAAGTAAAATAATGGCTAAGTTGTTCACCTATGTTTTAGAAGAAAATGTGATAAATGATCAAAAATCTACATTGCCCAAACAAGTCTACCTACACTTGCTGTATTTCCGGTACACCCGTACATATTCCTCAGAATCCCCTTTACAGTATTGACCTTTCGGTCATCTCCAACTGTGCAACAAGACGGCCTGTAAAAAAACGCCCATACAGGAATTCTGTGAAGGTTCACCGTGACATTTTACTGACAAGAAGAGTATTTTTACATTTGCTGGGTGAGAGATTTTCAGAAGAGGTCGGAGACCTTGGCTCCAGGCTTAGCTCTGTGTCGCGAGCGAGTCAAACTCACTGTAATTTCAGTGTCAACATTTTTTTCATAAATCAAATATTTCTAAGATCTGTAAGAATGCTGTAGATTCTTAATTTCATCTCACGTGTCTAGCCAAACGTTGGTCCACTACATTAAGAAAAGAAATCAAACCCAACAATAAGTAATTAGTAAATTAGAAGTAGCTTTTTTAATTAGGATTTACTTAGTGTGTTAATTTTATTATTTATTTAGCATTTCTAATACTTTTAGTACTTGCACTTAGCCCTTGGGCACGAATGTACAATAAAGTTATAAGTTTTGTTTAAAACTTAATGTTTTATAAGTTTCAACGTCGTTTATTGTCCTTCATGTCGCAGTATATAACATCGTTGCCTGAGACCTCCCTCTCTCTGATCTGTTAAGTTTGTATGGTTCATGCTACAAGTAAATTCCATTAAGCAATCTCCTTGAGCACTGTAGATTCTTTGTTGGAGGAGCGGCTATCAGAATGCGGCTATCCCCCCACCTCTGCTTGGCCACGTCCCTGTGCTGAAGACAAGTTGTTGACGTGCGGGTCGTGCCACTTTGCCACCTGCTCCAAACCAATTGACGAGAAAACCCTCTCCTGCCCAGCACGAGGCGCGCTCCCCGTGCTGAAGCTAATTGTCTGAAGCAGGAGAGGTGAGGACCAGATGGTCCGTCCGCAAATTGAATCCGTCCCGCGCTGGCCTCTTCAGCAGATGAAGTGCCCGGAATCGCCTCCTTGGCTACTAATGAAACTGTGGGCCACAGCTCGCCTGTAGTAACAGCTTGCTTCATAAGAGTGGGGGAGCTGACCAGTTTCAGCAGTAAGATACAGAAATGAAGTCGTGTTCTACAAACTGTAGCTCAATATAGACCAGACTTTGTAGACTGAGAATCCAATTGAAATCGTTAATTGCTATCCAATGACTTAATACTATATGAAAGTTTCTTATATACCGCAAGTACGAAACATGGAACTATGCAACTAAGCACATTCATTATTTAAAAGCGATGTATTGAAAAAGGAGTGACTCTAGCATGGTCTAAAGTATGGTTGTGTTTTCTGCAGGTATCTGGCGGTGGGACCACAGTTCAGTTCACTGGCTGCTAGCAATGCCGGAGGACAGGGGAGAAGATGGCCGCTGGTCTGCAGTAGTATACCAGGTAAGGGTGTGTATGGGGCAGGCAGGCGGGAGACTGTAGCGCTCCAAAAGATTCAAAACGCACAAAAATGATATCAAGAAAAAACGTCAATTATAGTCATAGAGCATTTCCTGGTTCAGGCATTCCCAATGCAAAATATGTTGTAGAATACACTTGTAATCCCTCTTTGAACTCCTCAGGTCTGGTGCCGAGACAGATCCGGTACTGCCGGAAGTTTCACGAGATCATGCCGTTCGTGGCGGACGGCACGAAGCTGGGGATCCGGGAGTGTCAGCACCAGTTCCGCGGCCGCCGCTGGAACTGCACCACCGTCCAGGGACAGGTCTCCATCTTCGGACCAGTCTTAGACAGAGGTACCACCAATCACTCACTCAACAAGTGTGATCAAAGTTTGACCGATGGGCTTCCCAGAGAATAATATACACTCACCGAAATTTCCAAACTTCTTCGGACACACGTAGTCACTCATTTGTGCCTGTACACTTTTCCATCAAGACAAAGGTACTAACGATCACTCACTCAACAAATCATGGGCAATGTGATGAAAGTTTGACTGATGGTCATCCCAGAAAATAATATACACTCATCGAAATTTCCAAACTTCTGTCTTCTTAGGACACACGTAGCCACTCATTTTGTGCCTGTACACTTTCCCATAAAGACTACTGGTTACCAGTACTGTGCTACTACACTCTTCACCACATTTACGCCTGCCGCCTTTATCTACATTTCTGTGCGCTCACGGATTCTGCTCAACTGCTTCTTGATCTCTTTTTTCTATCCTCTCTACCCACTCACTTCTTCAACTGTAACTGTAATTGTAACTGCACACAGCCTCACAGATCATCGCCACCACTAGGGTCGGACCAAGTGCAAAGTCATTCTTATTGTGTCTTTCCCCCCAAATCGTACTTTTGCATAAGACTCTCAAGATGTCGTTGTCTGCATCATAGAAACTGTCGAGAATTACTAAAGAGAAAACTGCAATGTTGGCTTATGTTTGATCCAGCTTCTCAACCCTTCTATGTTTGGTTTGATGATGCATGTGGTCCGACCCTAACTCCACACTCTTACATCTCCCACCCATAGGAAACACCAGTTCCACACCAAAAACACCTCCTCGTGCAGGGGACTCCATACTCGGTCCGGCGGTCAACAGAGGTAAGTTTTGTGGTGATGATGAGACCAGGAGATGCTACATAACTACATCAACATCACACAGAGCACTGCGTGCGTGTGGCAGTGGTTAGCGATACTGGACCAAAGGGTCAAGAGTTCGAATCCTTGTTGTTGACACAAACCACGACTTCCACGCGCCTATGTTGCTTCTCCTCTCAACAAGTTTGAAAAAGAGCAAAACTTTCTGTCTATTTTCAAGTGATATAAACGCATCAAGCCTACATCATACGTATACCTACAACATGTATGTCTAAATGTATGACAACCACCTTCAGTACTTCATGCTTGCTGTACAGACTTCAAACACCAGAAACATTCCGAAAGACTTATCACGATAATCTTCATTCTTTGTAATGTATATGTAGCGCCTAAAGATCCACATGGATGCGCGCAGAATTTGTCTCATGACTCTCAGCCTCGTGGGTGGCATAGCTAGCTATCAAAGCTACCATCTCGTAACTCGTACCCACTACTTACTAGTACTCTCATAAGCCCATCTTACTCCGTGTTTCATCTTACTCCATGGCTGTTACTAATAAACTGCTTAGCACCTTTAGTCTCCTTAAATACGTCATATCTGTCAGTGTTCTACCTACCATCTTAATACTATGAATAATATGAACTTATGACCTTGGGTTACCTTAAGTGATAGACACCTGACATGGTTGGCACCAGAAACGAAGAGCTATGTGCTGTGCATTTTGATAGACCAGTTACCTAACAACTGCCATCCGTAGATCTCTTACACTCTAAGCATGGAAAATGTTTTTTAATATAACCTGAAATGTGCAAAATCAACGACACCTTATTAGCTGTGATGTTTTAAGGGAGTCACAGAAGACAATTGTTTTTCTGTTTTTGTTCTCCAGCTTCAAGAGAAGCTGCCTTTGTTCACGCCATCACGTCGGCAGGGGTGGCTTACAGCGTCACTAAAGCATGCGCAGAGGGGACCTCTCCGGACTGCGGCTGCGACAACAGACACAAGGTAACGGTCGACTTTTAAACCATCAAAATGGCGGCCGTTCAGGTGTCCGAGATGAACAATGTGATTAGTTGGGATGGGTCAGGTGACAAAGACGGCAGCATCCATGGACTCCGAGAGACACAGAACAGTTTTTTTTTATGCTCACGTAAAACTGGCATAGTTGTGGTTACGCCTTTATAATAGAATTTTACAACAATTGAAGCAGGAAAGGGAGACAATAACACGCGTTTGTCTACTATAGGGACCTCCCGGTGAGGGATGGAAGTGGGGAGGATGCAGTGAAGATGTCCTCTTCGGCACCAAGTTCTCGCGAGATTTCGTGGATGCGAGAATACGGGGAAGGCGAGACGGGCGATCAGCCATGGACAGACACAACAACGAGGCAGGCAGACAGGTAGAGAAACTCAACTAAATCAGCTTCTTGGCATACGTTATCTAACCTAGTTGTAAGCCTTTAGCAAGAACTGGTACATTTTTAGAATAGAATTAACTTTTCCTCTTGAAAACAAAAGCTACGTCCCCCATTTAATTGTAAAACTTATTCTTGGGTCTGACGTAATTTCTAGAGTTTTGATTTTTGGTGGAAAAAGTACGTGTCCAAATTGACCTTGACCCGAACAGCCACAGCCACAGGATTCTGCTCTTCCCTAGTACATTTGCCCCTGGTGCTGCATGTGTGAGCGGCGCCCTTCAAGTGTCAGTCATAATCCAACTGTCATCGCACTCCGACGTCACCGTTTCTGACGTTAAGCCAATAATTTGAAGGCGAACAAATCGTACGTTTCTGCAGGGTATGATTTTGGCCGTCTATTCTAACCTCCGCGGTCCGTCTGATGTTCTGACCAGAATCGTGGCTAAGCCGGCGGGGTGGCGGCCGGCTTGTCCACACCTCAACGACCATCGGAACTGATGACGTCGAGCGCGAGTCAAACCTATAATTTCAACAACAATGGTTGTCTAAAAAAGGGCGTTATATAGACTCCCGGATGAGACGATGGACGAATTAGATAGTGCCAACCGGTTTCCCAGCACTTCAAACTACACGATGAAAAGGTCAGGTTTGAGGCAAATGACTAGGTTGCCGTTGAAGGCATTTGTAAACTTTGCTCAAACGTTGCACCCATGTCTAGGGTAATATAAGAAGGATTAGGGGTCTTAGATGTGAGAAGTTGAGCCCTGAAGGATTGCCCTGGACATAAAGAAAGGCACAGGGCTCTGTCCGCATCACTATCCTGTTGTCAAAACATGGCGAATCCCCCAGACAAACCGCACGACTCCAGGTTTGTGAGAACTCGACTTTGTGCATTAGCACACGCCAGTTACGCTTTCACTGGGGTAAAACCTTAAATATAACGTGAAGTTATACTGGTGGGACCCGAAATGTCAAACGTTAGTCTTTCTGTTGTCCCGATTGTGGCTGGGGTTGGTGCGGTGAATAGTATATCCGCCTTCGTGGAAGCATGGTTCGTTAGCTTTACGTCAATACCTTTACAAACATTGAAAGGCACAAATACGACCTGGAATGATGCTGGTACAGACTAGATCTGTAGAAAAGTCCGCCATTCTTCGTTTTGTTCCTATGAAAGATTGTGACGTTCAGGAGAAGAGCATTTCTCCTTCCGTGGAAGCGTGGCAGGCTAGACTTACGTCAACCAAGGAGGTTAATTCAAGATCTGTAACCTCCATGCGTCAATAACCTTTCAAACATGTAAATCTCTAAAGTATAACCGATAATATCCAATTTGTGGTCACGCTGTTATAAATAGAAAGTATGAAAAGTCAGATATTATTAGCTAAAGATAGTTTGTGACGTTCAAACGATGATCATACCCGCATCGTGGCTGTTCCACGTCTTGTTCCGACCAAACTAAACAAGAGGTTTGAGGGTTACGCTTGTATTGTATTTTGCCTATAAGACTTTTGTTGGCTCAAGAATTAGGCAATAAAACTCACATAGAAAACACGGTGACGTTTTCCTGCGGTGCAAAATATACTTGTATAGTTCTGTTGGTTCCATAGTTAATGTTATAACCAAGTCTGAAGATAGACCTGTTGGAATAGTAATTGTGTGTTTCCCTTGTATAAAATACATGAAACATGCCCTGACGATGTTTATCCTTGTCATAGTCGAGTATACATGTAACATGTGCTGATGAGTAGTGTATCTATGAGTAGTGTATATACATGTAATATATGCTGACGATGTCTATCCTTATCCCCTAGTCTATCATGAAGAACCTGCAGCTGAAGTGTAAGTGCCACGGCCTGTCGGGCAGCTGTGAGATCAAGACGTGCTGGTGGGCCCAGCCGGACTTCCGCACGGTGGGAAACGTGCTGAAGGACAAGTACGACTCCGCCTCGGAGATGGCCGTGGAGCGCCACCGCGAGCCCTCGGGCATGGTGGACTCCCTCTACCCGCGATACAGCTTCTTCAAGGCGCCCGGGAAGGACGACCTCATCTACTTCGAGAACTCGCCCAACTTCTGCGAGCCGAACAACTCCACGGGTTCGCTGGGGACCAAGGGGAGAGAGTGTAACATCACCAGCCACGGCATCGACGGCTGCCAGCTGATGTGCTGCGGCAGAGGCTGGAACACGCGAACCGAGCTGAGAACTGAGAAGTGCCACTGCCAGTTCCACTGGTGCTGCTACGTCACGTGTCAGGAGTGCCAGAAGAAGCACCAGGTGCACACGTGCAAATGACGCGACAAAAGGTGTGGTGAGGTAGTCGGCATATCTTGATGACATCATCGTTAGGAACATCACCGTTGCGACTGACATCACACAAAAAGGACATAAGACGTTGGATGTGTTTAAGATGCGTCTTTTACAGCCTCACCATCAAGGTATATCGAACATAACATAAGTCATGTCCAATGGCAAAGAAAAAACACAAAGCTGGTATCTAAATGTGGAACTCCTACACTGTATAATATGGATTTGACAACCTACACAAAATTCACTAATCTTATCTTAGGAGGGAGTCTCAGGCTCTACTAAATGTATTAAAGTCAACCCAAACAAGCTCGAAGATCTGACCGTATCAAAACACTCCCCAAAGTTTCCGCCCCTGAGGCGTCACCAAAAACGCTCGGACAACTGTCCCCATCAGCTAACATGTAATTTCTCTACACCATCTGATGAATTTATTCAAATCTAAATCTACTATTAAAACCAGTGATTTCCTAGTTTCGTGTGATACGTCACACCTGTCTAAACTTCTGACTGTCAGCTCTGATTTTGGGGCCAACACTGACCAAGGAAATAGGTGTTTGGGTGATTCACTTGCACTGGGTGTTAACAAGGTTGTGTCACAAAGACACTACGCACTTTCAGTATCAACTCAAGACCACTGTGGTTTGTCATCATATTATGTCCTAGTGTAGCAACTTGACGAGTATCTACGGTCCTCGTACATTGTGATAGGCACATTTTAGTGGGGTTCACTCGAATAGCAATACAGTCTACCTTTATGGCCATGTTTTGTACAATATTTTTATTGACGTGTATCTTGAAGTCTTGATGTTTGTGGCTTCACTCTTTCCTGTACATTTGTAAAGAATGAAATGTTGTACTTACTTTAAAGGAGAAACGTGAGGGAAGACAGTCTAGTCTGCTCTTACGATGGTGACTTTTTAAGATGTTCATTTATTGGTTCCTTGTAAATGTTATATTGCTCGTGTGTTATGACTATCAAGATGTACTGATGTAACGTTAAACCTTTCTTCCAAAGGTTGCAGGATGGATTTTAAGCATTCCTTTAGGTCAACAGACCTAGCAGTTTGTCATTTGAAGATGCTTTAACCAAAAGCCACAAAAGCTTTATATCTATACATTTATAGATTTGTATATGTTTCATGTTGATGTTTATAGATAGATAGACCTACACTATCAGTGTGTATGATATCTTTTTATCAGCTAACAAATAATAGCATATCCCCTTTGACATTATTTGATTCTTGCCAAACAAACTTGCCATAACTGAAAGCATAACCTTTGGTTAAGTTTTTTCCTCTGTCCAAGTAAAACAAATCTGTGCTATCGGTAATATATTTGTTTAGATGAGTATTTGTAGAAAAGAACCTTAACACAGTATTCACAGCGTTCTTCACTGTCATAGATTACTTGATAGTAATTATCAAATGAAGCACTGCAACTGACCCTGGAAAAATATAGTCCAGAAAAACGTAGCTGCAACACGTGAATTATGTTATCTTTTTTTGCTGTTACTGTTCAAGTTTAAATAATAGATCACCTAGTATGTGCACCTTCCAGTTCCAACTGCCATAGTAGTGAAGACTAGCTGCTAGCTGAAAAGCCGTTCACAGATTGTGAAAGTAGTGTATTCCAATGTTTTGAACAGTTATATTTAAAAGATCTGTGTAAAGTTGTGAAGTGTTGTTTCGCCGTACCTGGTAGTTGACAAAAATTAACCTTCTCCCTGCTGCCTACCCCTGTAACCCATGCGGATATGGTTCACAAAGTCTACCCTAAGAAGGGCGAAGGTTAAGCAACGGCGAGTACTTTTAACCTTTAGTCATCTGGTGCTGGCTTCTGGTATGATAGTCTGTTTTTTTCTGGTAAGATTATCTATTAGTAAAGATATTACTTCAGTCTACTTGTACAAAAAACATGAAAACAAAAAGGGAAAAAATGTGACATGAGCCGACCAAAATCACCAACATACCAGAAGCCCGCATCAGGCTGGAGGGAGCTGTAGTGAAACAGTCCAACACGTTGACATCTGCCCATTTTGTGTTCTAATGGCTTCATGTGACGAATGCTGTAAATATGGATACATGCGCCAGGTTTCAATAAATCATTCTATTTTTAATACGAAACTCTCTGGGATGTTTACTGCCTTCTTGACTGTCAATGATAATGTCTACTGTTATGAGTATAATCCTAATCACCATAAGTAGATATAATCTTAGACCTGGAACCAGTAGGGCCTTGCTGATTTTTGAAGACAACCCATAAACAAAATATCTTGAAGCTATTGACTGCAAAGATTAAGTCCTGTCAAGGCAGCTGTTCCCACCTCGAATTTGCATCCTTACAGAAATTGACTGGAGATTTCATTTTTTTATCTTGATGTTTAATATAGTTTTCATTCTCATTCTGCATCTTACATTTAATTAACAGCTTTCTTGAGCATTTGCTAGACTCTTGGTCCCATATGATACATCTCCTGACCAGGAAAATGACTAAAATCAGTTAGGTAGTTTGCACAAACTCTACAATACCCTTAGCTTACAACATATTGAGACAGTACAAAGAGGAGTAACAGGTACCATCACTTAAGCTTTCAATGATCAATTTCCTGAAGAACATTATGGGCCAGTGTAACCCACACTCCACCAAGAACAGGGGTTACCACACAGTGCAGGTCCAGTCCTAAATTGTCATATCGGTTGGTTTGCCCAAATGTCAAGAAACTGACTTGGGCTGGAAATGCAACAAGACTGCTGCTAGCTCCCATGAGCTATCATTAGAGCTTGTTGCCAAGAATGCTGACCATTTCTACAGCACTTCAATGACTGTCCCAATAGTGACCTCAATTTACTGTCAGAAACATCACATGGGTTTCTGATCTACAGGAATGATAGCTTATTTCTTTGCTTAATTGCCACATGTAACATTTAGTAATCACAAATTTTACATCACAGACATCACATTTAACATCACACACATCCAAATCTCTATTGTACAACTCCTTGTAGACATGTCTCTAGAATAGTACATATCTATACAATTTTGTCTTTAAATAGCTTATTCTCACCTGATTGGTTGATATCATGCAAATTTTGTCTGCAACATGTGCATAGTTATCTCAGATTTTTTTTCTTCTAACTTATTGCTTAAAAAAGATTTTTCCTTCCGTGTTGCTAATTTCTAGTATTAAAGCCCTGGAAACACAAATAAAGAAGTGCCCATTGGAAACAGGAACTTCTGACATGTACCCATAGTGTGTGTGTTTTCAACATTTACACGATTGTAAACACATGACTTGTAGAATCAGTTCTCTAACAAATTTGAAAGGTGCTAGCTTTAGACATCACATCATACATGACCGAATCACAAACATGTCAATAAAGACAATCTACAGTGCCTAACATTGACCTAGAAGCTATCATGGACACTCATTGGATGACGCGTTGTTGTTGCATATTATGTAACCATTATCATGTCTCCTTCCAGTTTGCACTAGGACATGGACAACCTGTGGGAAAGATTGAAGAAGAAATCGTTACTCCAGAAAAATCGCTGTGGCCTGACAACAAGAGAAAAACACTTTTATTTCAGCCCAGCCATCCCTCAAGGTGATGAATAGCTCCCTTCAGTCCACTGCTGTGATGGAATTTTCTGTGCCAGGACAACAGATGGGGAAACTGTAGTTTACAGCATGCGCCCCCCTCCCGACTCAAGGTCATAGTTCAACAGGCCCATTGTTGGGACTGAGTGCTGCACAATGCTGCATGATGAATCTGTTTCAGGAGAGACAGGCGCCAAATTACTGCTGTCTGAAGGTGAATGGAAGGTCAGGACAGGCCATGTTTTATAGACCAGGGTACAACTGCCGAGCAATGGCAGAATTACTGAGTGCTCTGTGGCTGTGTGGCTGACATATAAAAGGCAAACGACCCAAATGTAAGCTTAATTTCATGGTATGGCATCAAGAGTCTGTAAAATTATGTAGTTTCTCTCTTGGCTTGATGTCATCTCCCTTCCTCTGCTCTCATGCTATACTGTTACTCACCTTTAAATTAACAAAAAACTCAATAAACAAAATGTTTCCCAAGAGATGCATGCCGCTGGACAGATGCCTGTGTGACTTTCATCTCAATAAATACTGCTACAAAAGACAAATGTGCTCAAGATATTGTTTCTCTCAATTGAAATACCAAAGACTTAATATCCCTTCAACTGTGTGTTATCATTTTTAACCACTACATCTCATTCACTCCAACTTTATTCATCTTACAAGACATTCTTCTTGTCTTCTTAGCCGTTACTTACCCTCCCTCCTCCTCCAGTAGAGACAGGAACTTTGGGATGCGTACCTCCTCATCAGTCTAAAAAACACAAAACAAATATCTTGTAACTAAAACTCACATATTGTCATAACCTCTACATGGTTTAGAATAGATGTATTTCTGGCTGAGCCAAACCCTGTCTGTACTATACAATCTGTCAAATTCTACACAACAACACACAAGCCTGATCATGGCCACTGTATCAATCTCAATCAGACTCACCATGCACACTGTTACACGTTTGTTTCCAAAGCTTTGTAACACTTGGACAAACCTCAGATCTGACCTAATTATATCTAGCACCACTGTGGAAACAGATGTAGAGGATTTCAGTGTGGGCCTGGGTGCCAAAGTCATCGGGAGGTAAGGTAAACGTGAATCATTTCACGTTCAGACTGTGGGTGTGGAAGGGTCGGAAATAGTTCACACGCTACAGCTTGTGTGTATGTGGAAGGTCTTGGCTGGGCTAATAATATAGTAGGAAAGTTGAAGGCTAACATTTGCGAGCAAATGCAGGCCATTTCTCAGTTCATCTTGAAATGGTTGGTAAACATAGTCACAGGTTGTCAACAGAAATTATCAGAGGCCTGTATGACTTTTTAAAGAAGCATACACAGCCCACTGCAGTACTGTAGGAAAATGCCAGGTGAACCATTTTGGAGCTTGACCTTCATTTCCACAACCACTACTCGCCTACCACATAACATTAACATCCATCCACAGCTTCTTGAGTTATGCTGCTGACATACAGACTCAAACCACAGCCACTCTACCATGACACAACAAACATATTAAGCTATCTTGTCAAAGGTATACAAATGTATATGACAACCCCAGCACTTGAGCTGCTGCACTAAGTTAGTGGATGCTCCCCTTCTCTGGACCAGTCCAGCCTGATTGGCAGTGTGGCAGTCAGACCACCACAGAGACCACTTTCACAGACTTGTCAACAGCCCCTATTCTTCATCCTCCTGCCATCGGCTCTACATTGTCTGGATACGTTACAAATGGCTCAATTTTCCTACCCAGGGGCTCAGGACATCCTAATGGCAAACAGGACAGTTACGAGGCCATTTGTCTTATCCTTTAAAACTAAGAACTGGGTGTGCTGGTACTGCATATTACTAAGTGGGCCAAAGGTAAAACAATTGCTGCCAGAACTGTTGTTAAGTGTATTTTCTGACTCTAACATTCAAGAAAAACTTTTGTAATGCTGTCTTTGTAAACTCTCTTTTTATTTTATTTCAAACAAGTTTTGTCTGAAAAGAAGATAACCTTGACTCCATATCCCCACACAAACAGGTTTCAGACACTGGGAAATTGCAGCCATCTATCACAGCTTCTCAGGACCCTTATAGAAGCAGCCATCTTATCTTCTGTCTGTGTCCTGACAAAGACAGATTCTCTCATTCTCCCCAGACATTGATTTTGCTAAAATTACTGCCATCCCTTTAGCAGTAGAGCTGTGAGTCTGGGAGCCCATCTCAGAAATGGTCTGGCTGGGGTAGTTAGCCTGTCTGGGCAGGCAGACGGGAATGGGGCACAGGTATGGATCGTTTGTCTTCTGTCTGCTGGGGTTCAAGGGCAAGACAAGAAGTGGTATCACGGCACAGTTAGATAAATACAAGTTTTATTGTTAAAGGAACCCAAAGCAATTTCAGGGCTGTAAAACTGGATTTTCAAAGCCAATTTGCTGATGTAACATGTAGTAAGTTGAATCAACCCTATCCCATAGCATACATATAGTGTGAGGCAAAATCTGATGTAACTGACAGAATACGGTTGCTTGTTTTGGGGCTACTTCAAAAGGCTGAAGTATGAAATGATGATGAAAATGTGCAAAGAAATGGCAGCAAATTTCAATATCAGACAAATCTCATCCAGAATATTTTTTTTTTGTTTTGCTGCCCTGAAATTGCACTGGATGTGTTTAATGCAGCTCACCTGTCTGGCCATCTCTATCAGTACCAGCAGCTTCTTAATGCCGATCCACAGTCTGTGAAACAAAATACATGTACATTACATACAACATGTCTACACCGATTTTAAGCTATACTGCTACTTCATTACAAAACACAGTGGTCCAGGATACACACTTCTACAGATTCTTAAAGTCTGATAACACTTCCTGGTACACAGAATAACTAAATTCATATTGCCAGAAAATAAACGACCACGTCTAAGACACTAATGTCTTGCCATTGTCCACACTTCCGGTGCTGGCTCAGCAAGTGATGTAGAAATAACTGTGGTTTTGTAGGGAAGGATATTGGACTGTAGGGGGCCACTTTCCTCCCAAACCCCCTCCCTTTGTCACAGTCATGACCTATCACTTATAGCATTACAAATGTTTCTAAAACACAGTCTCAGGAACAAAGGATTTTCTCCAAGGAGAAGGTTAAAGTCTTTAAGGAGCCCCTGGTGGCTTCTGACCCGGCTGTCAGCACGTCTGAGCTCTGAGGAGTAATTCCTTCAGACATTTTTCTCCAGAAAGTTCCTTCTAATCATTTGGTCAAGGAATTGCTAACGGACTCCATGAAAATAATGGAAGAATATTTGCTTGTCTATGACTTTAACCAAGGAGGTTAAAAATCTAGATATTTAACCTCTTTGCTTGAAGTTGAACCATATTTTGAACTTCACACATACTACATGTATAACCATGCAACTAAATGTGGACTTGCAGAAAGTGCCTCTGAAAGGTGCAGAGGTTAAACAAAACCATTTGACAAACATATTCAAACTCAATTCATGTAGCGTAGCAACCTACATAATTTCAACCCACAGGACAGAGGCAAATGGCGGGCTGCCATCAAGCCTCAGCATTGGTGTGCAAACATGTCTAACCCCTGGAAGATGGGGAACAGACGCTAAAGCAGATAGTGAGTGAGTGTGTGATGGGAGATTTCATAACCAACACTGATTTTGATTATCATTGTGTTGCACTCTTACAAACCCTACAACCCTACAGAGCTTTATGAAAAGTTTTAGGAATGTGAGGAATCTGGAGGTACTGTATCTCCCATTACCCAGCAGGAGGCTCCTTCCTCACACTCCCTCTCCCATTTGCAGCCAGGAGTTAAAGGATGTGGCAATTTGGCTGAAATTGGATCCCACGGACTATTTGTGGCAAATTACGGGCAGGCCGCTGGGTGATGGATGGAGGACGGCGCAGAAATGAAATGTATTTTACGGGACGGACGGACAGACTGGCTCCGGTCCAGGTGCGGAATTGGACGGCAGGGAAATCGTAGACTTATCCGCGTAAGGTATACAGTGTCAAGTGTGAAGCTGAACTAGCCCCACTGAGGTAATGTGTAGGCTGCTCTAGTGAAAAACAAAAATAAAGGGCAAACATAGAAATCTGAACCTTCTAGTTATCCTGTACTAATATTAACTCAGATTTTATCTTGGCATGAGCAAGGTTCACTGCATAAGACATTACTTATTGGGCTGAATTAAAAACATTAAACCAGGACTGGTCACCATTTCTGCATGTTGAGTACCATCTGGCCATTAAAGCCCGATTTAGACTAGAAACGGTATACCGTTTCGAAACGGTACGAAACGTTTCGCCACAGAAAACGGTTCGTCTTTAGACACAGAGGCGGAAGCGTTTCGGGCCGCCCGTGGCGCAGGATGTTTCTGACCCACAGTGACCTATGATGACCTCCCCAAACCGCTTCTACGGTTTGCCTCATTGGCCTTATGATACTTGTGTTTCAGGGCCTTGAACTTCGCCCGAACCTGCTTTGGGGTGCGTAAATACCCCTCAGCCGCCAGCCCGTCCACAAGCATCTGTATGCCCTTCCTATTACGCGAGGTCTCCAAGCGGGATTGTATAGTTTGATCGGCCCACAAGCTGATCAAGCAGCGGGTCTCTTCTTGGGTCCATACCCTCCCCTGGCCTTCTGCCATCCCCCCAGACATAAAGGATGACGAAAATTTGAGAAATACATGATATAAAATGGCGAAAATGGACACAATCGAATATGGCGCGAATCTACCAGAAAATGGACGCGCGTGGGCTTATTAGCATGTGATTAGCATATGACACGTGACCTGGTTTACCGTTTCAAGAAACCCTTTGACTTTAGACCTAGCAAAAAGCGTTTCGGGCCCCCCGCTGAAGGGTTCTGAAACGGTCGAAAACCACGATGGAGGTGGTTTTCAGAAACGGTCCGCGAAAACCCATAACAAACCGTTTTTTCCTCTTTAGACCGGGAACGGTTAACCGTTCCGAAACGTTTCCCTGGCCAAAACCCCTTAAGCGTTTCTAGTCTAAATCGGGCCTTAGACTACATGACTACTGACAGTGCCCACTCAGAGTCCTTAGACATAAGGAAAACAGAAAAAGGCATACTTTTTCCCTTCAACCTTCTTGGCAATGGAATCCATTTCTTTCTTGGAGAAACACTCAAGGAGCTGGGAAACAACAAACATTAATTTTATTTTAGCAATCATCATATCAAGGCAGGTCAATAAAAATTACCATCATGCATGCATGATTATTATGTGGTGAATGGAAACTTTTAATCACACTACTTTAACTTTGTAGGTTAAATGAGAAGTCATACAAAGGTTCATACATCAAATTAAATCAAGGACAGATGTGAATATGTTCAATATCTACTTTTTGACAAGTACAGTAAACGGTAAACTTACAACATGCCATCACATGGATGAACTACAACTCTTTCCAGTAGCACACTCTATTCACTTGATCTGTTTCATCAGAAGTGTACAACACAGGTCATATGTCAACAAATGAAACACACACCTCCAGAGCGTTGATGAGTTGCTCAGGTTTGGACAGGTTGGAGACGTGGATGTTGGTGTTGAAGGAGTTTGTCATCTCCATCTCCTCTAGAACATCCCGCCGACTTGTTGTGCCGATAATCAACAACTTTCTTCCCTACAGTAAACACAAGGCAATCAGAGACGGCAGACTTCAACCCCTACCAGTATCAAAAATGTGTCAGAACTTGAAATTTTAAGTGCAAAGCAAGTACAATATGTTTACTTTCAAATGGTGTAGCCCAACACAAACTACTGTTTTATTCATTCTTACTCAAACACAATCATATATATGCTAACCAGCCCCTCCAACTTGCTACATAATGTAACCCAACACCACAAGGTGTCTGCTACAGCACCAGTTACCATGGTGAGTTATCTGGTCAAGGTCATTGACATTATGTGTTTGGAGAAAATGAAACTGAGCAAAAATAGTATGCTTTCCTTCTGCGAAGATAAACATAAAAATAGTCTGTAGAAATAATGTGTAATAAGCTGAGGCCGTCCAACCTTTGGTGGTGGTTTCTTCAGCAGAACAATTAGCCCTTGTAGAACCAAGTTGGAGAATCGTGGTCCAATCGGGACATAGTCTGGAAATACAAGCAGGCAGAAAACTTACTTCATGTTCATAAATAATCAACATTCGACCTAAATTGTAAGCAAACTGCTTTCCTGATTTTTACAATGTGAAGTTATACTCAGTACATAAACAATATACTAGAATCAAAGACAACTATCACAAAGGTTCTTCATATTCTCACAACTGAAGTTTTGCTAGCTACTACATGTATGTCTTGTACATGTACATGTATGTAGAATGTGTTTCTCTCACCTATGAGTCTTTCAATGTCGTCCACCACTATACAGCTGAGTTGAGACTTATAAGCATCATCAAACACCTGGAAAAAATATCACCTGCCAGTCACTTTTAAAAGTCAATATTTAATCTATTATAATATACAGATGGATACTGTGTAACTGCAAAATAAGTAGTGCACTACTATAGGAATGTAAAGAGAATATCCTTTTTTATAAAGATGTGCAGGGAGTTTTTAACCTCCATCCTGCTGAGGTACATATTGGCACAGACTTTACTTGCACTGGTTATGGGGTTTGATAGCAGGAGATGGATAAACATAGGAACACCTGCAAATTTGCCATAATGTAATGTCTCAGGAGTGACCCCTAGCATCTCAGGTCTGAACTGCAAGAAATGTTATGGAAACAAATTGCAAATGGCACAAATAAGCACTGTGCCCCCTATGTATACATCTATCATAGAATGAGTATTGCAAGTATTACTGGTGAGGAGATTAGACGTCTAGACCTAAGACGTCTTGAATGCGTACCTTCTTGATAGCCTGACACTTGGCGCTCTCGCTGAAGCCGATCATGTTCTCAGGGGAACAGATCTTGATGAAGGGGAACTCAGAAGACTCGGCAATCCTGGCAGCCAACGCCGTCTTACCACTCATGGCAGGACCTGGCAAGAATCAGGCAAGGAAATGTTTTAAGAAACTCAATGTTTTAAATGTCTCAGAAGAGCCTCCTAGCATCTAAGCTGTGAAGAAACTCAATGTTTTAAATGTCTCAGAAGAGCCTCCTAGCATCTAAGCTGTGAAGTGAACTGTTTTGGAAACTGGCATGTGTGGACACTGCTATATACAAATACCGGTAATGTAAGTGGTAGACTACAGTCAATGTGCATACAAATAGTGTAGTCATTTTTTGGATAACTTTGGTCAGTGTTCTATACGTAGCCATTTGACAGAACTTTGCCTCTAATGACAGACAAAAATTTTGCTCAATTAATCATCTTTGACGACCAATGAATGTTAAGATTAGCTTAGTCTACAAGCAAAATTTGACCCTCAAAATTGAGGAAATAGTGTTTCAGAGGATCAAGGTTTCAACATTTTCCTGACACTTGACATGTTGTTACCTCAAACAAAATTGAGATGACAGAAAAACATTTCAGGCTGGCTCGAACAGTGCCGTTGGTGATGTTCAGAACAGCTATGATAAGAAATCTCACCTTCTAGCAGTACACTGACCAGCGGAGTTTTCTCACTGACTTTGGTCTGCTCCACCAGCAGCTTCCCATCATCTAGCACACGGTGCACAGGGTCGCCCCACGAGATGATGTCATTCTGGATGTAGCTTTCAAACACCTCTGCTTGGTGGCCAAACGCCTGATACAAAATACAGAGGTATATCAAATTACATTGTAATTATTAAAGACTAAGTATAAGTACAAGTAAATAGTATTAAAGACCATAGCTCGTAAGCAGCCTAAGTAAGTTCATATATTGTAAATTCCTTTTAGAGATTGAACAAATTCATCATTATTTAGTGCTCAGATAGCACAGATTCATTATTATTTAGTGCTCAGGTAGCATAGTACAGATCGATTCATCATTATTTAGTGCTAAGAAATTTGATGTTGTAACTTAGATATTATGATTTCTAAGCTTATCAAAAGGAAACCTTTCAGACAATTAGTTTATCTATTACATGATTTGTTATGATATGAATGATAAGTGAAGACAAGACTTACCGGTTTGATATCATTCTCCAGTGCGTTGAGGAAGTCGCTCTTAGTGACCATGACCTTCTCTGCTGCTTCAGGGTCAACTTCTACTTTATTAGAAGCCTGGAGGGAACAGAGTTTCACAATCACAAACTTCTCACAATTTCAAGTTGATAATTTGTGCTTGGGGTTTCCCCTGGGGCACATTACAAAATGCTAGAAGGCATTTTGTTTCCCTTGGTAAAATAAAATAAAATAAAATGAAATAATATAAACAAACTAGAAAGGTACCATTTGCAAACCAAATATATCATGTTTACCTTTGCATATGGTCTGCTCTGTTAATTCTTACTCAGACACATTCATATATGTGGTCAGACAGGAGTCTAAATCCCTCCTGCTATAAAATTGCAACATGATGTAAACCAACACTAATTACCACGGTGACAGACGTCTGGTTCAGGTCGTTGATCTTATTTGTTTGGAGAAAAAGAAGAAGAAACAGAGCAAACAAACCTTGATGAGTCTGTTCATGGCAGTTGACTGTGCTGCTCGCACCAGACCCTCGATCTCAGCCCCGCTGAAGTTCTTGGTGATGATTGACATCTCGTCAATGTCCACGTCGGGAGCGAGCTTCCCATTCTCTCGCATCCTCGCCACGTAAATCTCAAAGATCTGCCTCCTCCCAGACTCGTCTGGCAGATCTGAAACATTGAACACAGACATTTTCAGGCTGACATTTTACAGGCTGAGGTATTCTAGTGTTTCAGTACCAAGGACAGGCTTTTGTTGTTCGATCTTGCATTACTTTGAAATTCCATGTTAACAAATTAAAGGGAAAAATAGTAATGTTGTCAGTTTCCATGGAGATGCCATGGCAACAGCAGGTACGTACTGATCTCCATCTGCACCTCCAGACGACCAGGCCGCAGCAGGGCTTCATCAATTAGGTCTCGTCTGTTGGTCATACCTGCAGGACGGGAGAGGAACATCATGGGCAGGATTGCAGTGGAAATATGAAAGTCTGTACAGAATTCATACACCTAAAAGACTCATTTTATCTCAGCTATCCTTTAGTCTAATTATTTGACTGTTGGGGCATCACAACCAGTTTTCTCCACCCTTTTCTGTTTTCTGTTCCTCTTAGCATTTAACTTAATGTTATGCTGGTCCATTCTCTGATGTTATCCTCCCATCTTTTCCATTGCCTACCCCTCTTTCTTCCTCCCTGTACTGTTCCTTGCATGATGGATTTGGCAAGACCCAATTACATTACTGTACATGTGGCTATACCACTTCAGTTTCCATTTTTACTGTGGTTAGCAGGTCTATGTATGGACTCTTTCTTTGACTCTTGTTTCATATTTCCTTATTGAAAAGCACCTGGAAGACTGCTAATTACTAAACCGCTCCAGATTGTAAAAGCTGGATCGTCTCCCTGAACCCACCAATGAGCAGGATGTTGTTGAGCTGTTCCACGCCGTCTATTTTGGACAGCAGCTGGTTCACAACGGTGTCGTGTACGCCGGTACTGCCCGAGATGCTGCCTCTCTGCTTACAGATGGCGTCAATCTCGTCAAAGATCACGATATGGAGGCCGCTGTTCAGTCCACACTGGGGAGAAAACAGTGAAGTTTAACATGGGAAGAACTCTTACCATGCCTTACTCTAAATCTGAGTCTTAACAGAAACCATCAGCGTAAACTGTATATTATATATTCTTTGCACTAGACTTCCTTCTAACTCCAAACCTTACTCTAACCAGACTCAAACACCAATCAAAACCTCGACCAAAACTCTTACCATAACTCCTAAACCTACTCCTAAGTGACTGAAGTTTGTGTCGTCAAAGTGTAAACCTAGTAATGAGTGAATCGAGTTATCATTAGTGTGGCCAAAGCATATTTTCTCCCTACCCGTCTCTGTTCCTCCTCTGCATCAGCGAACAGTTTTCTGATGTTGGCCTCCGACTCGCCTACGTACTTGTTCAGCACTTCAGGACCGTTCACGATCTTTGGTTCTCGAGCGTTCAGCATCTTACCAATGGTTCGAGCCATCAGGGTCTTACCAGTACCTGGGGAGAATCCAAGGGTACGTCAAGTTAATGTTACCCACACAAATGTACCAGTTGATAGGGTCTTGCAATTACCTTAGGAGAATGCACTGGTCCATCAACAAATGGCTATGAAAGGATCCACACAAAAGGGTAAATCACAGACTTGTAGGAGGTAAAAGAAAAGACATGTACCTTAGGTATTATTTACAAGCTTAAGTGCACAACAAACAAAATGGACAGTCACTTATACCAATGTTTTCCTCCAACTTTGCTTCAATGACAACCAAGCAGAGTCTCCTGGCTGTTTTTAACTGCAACTGAAGAATTTCTTACCTGGTGGGCCGAACAGGAGGATGCCTTTCACATGTTTGCCACCTGGAGGAAAAATATGCAACCAACACATCAACCAACAAAACATCCACTAACAATAGGTATAATCCACAAACCAGTTATTGCCGTGGCAAAATCACTCCAACTGTCCCAAACAAGCTGAATTATTTTACACGAGTGAACACACATACCCAGGGCCTCCACCACTTCAGGAGGAAACACTCTGGAGGCAAACGCTCGTCTGAAGATGTCAGAAAATTCCTAATGAGGAAAGATGATTTATAGCAATTGTAATGATCTTTCATACTTCATATTAAAAGGGGAGCCAACAAAATTATCTTTTGGATCCTTGAACTCTGTTAAGACCAGGGAAGACAAACAAGCAGTTCAATCTTTAAGCCACAGTGAAGTACAACTCTGACACAGACAGGTATGATATACAACTGTGACATAGACAGTTAACCAGTTCTTCTGACCTTGTCCAGTCCACCAATGCCCATCTTCTGGAAGTCCCAGTCAGGGTTGATGATAGACTGTCGTGCAGACTTCCTGTGGAATAAACACTGGCTCCTTTATTCCACACCAAGTACTAAATATCCTGGTCATAAAGGTCATAATTTTACTTTTCCAACAAGTAGTTACATCATATGACTTCGCTTCTGTGGACAGCAAATGGGAGTACCTAAGTAGCACTGTGATTCTGTCACACAAATGAAACACCCTTCAAATAATCTGAGAAGAAAACACTCAGAAAACTGCTGAACAACTTATGCTAACACAGTACAACCATTGTTAGGTTGAAGAGAACTCACCCCTTGGACTTCCCAGTCAGGTTGATGGGAGAGTCTGGAGACTTGTCGAAGATGATAGTAGTATTGGACATACACATGCCTGTCTGGATCTACAAGAACAGTGGAGGCATGGGTTACTGCAGCCAACACAATTTCCTACTTCCTATGATACAAATATCAAACATTTTGAGCTCACCATATTTCTTTATTAGTACTTTGCTCCATGTAACTTTGCTCCATGTAATTGAAGTTTAAAATGTCTAATGAGATGCTTTTACTTCTTAAAGATTCAAAACTGTCTTCTTACCTTCTTAGCCTTGCCAGAAGACTGCCCTCCTTTTAACACTGCCAGGTCTGCAGCTATAAGAACAAAGCAACTTGTATGTAACTGTTAACTTATAGTGTAATTATTAAATCATGCCACCAAAAATGTTTCTTTTTTCCAATGTTGGTGTTGATAGCAGTTTTTCTGATTAGCAGGTATTCAAGATTCAATCTTTTATTTTTTGTCAGGCTTCTTACTTCTATCCTCATTTTGCTTGAAGAATTGATAAAAGATTTTTATAAACTTACCTTCCTGGTCCTTTACAATGAGCTGTAGCAGCTTCTTGTCAGCAAAACTGAAGACCATCTAAGAAAAAGAAAAAAAAAACATAAATGATTATGTGGATTAAAGACTGTGGTAGGTTTGAATTTAGCCCTGTTGTAGTTGTTGAGTGAAAAGTCATATTACCAACCATTTGGTTCACAGTGAGTGCCATGTTGGAAAACTGCATCAGAAACTCTGCAGCCATCTTGTCAGTGTCAAAAGCATCCTGATTTGCCCTGTAAAACATAAAAGTACTGTATGTAACTATGTGGCAACCTTTTGTTCATTGTTAACTTGATAGATAGAGGCCTTCGGGCTTTAAAACCCAACTTTTACACATCATTATAAGTAAAATAAACAATAAGTTACTTACGCCTTTTTCTGGAGAAAGTCTACATTGATGGTGACTGAGCTCAGGTACTGGGTGTTGGGGTCAAATCGGTACGGAGTCACTGAAAAAATAAAACAGTTGGCCACTGTTACAACTACAACTACAGACTTCATAAAAGTTGCACTTTTAACTATGGCACTGGTACATTTCCTTTTCCACCTTTGTACTGACTTTCACACAATCATTATATTCAACAGTTCCTGTATATCAACATACAGAAAGAGAAGAAAAAATGAAGACAAGTACCTTCCACTTCTTGGTTGAGTGACAAGGAAGCCCATTTTCTCTGCAAGACAAGAAAACAGTTTTAGGACTCAGCAATGTTTCTTTTCACATTGAAGTAACAACTTTAAATTTATGGCTATGCAGGAGGGGTTGAAACTGTGTTGAATGTTTTTGAACATCTTTTGCATTTATCCACTACTTTTTGTAGTTTTTGTATATATAACACCTTCTACCCACTACAGATTCCATTAGTCACTGACGAAAAGTAGTTGATGCTACTTAAAACGTCTCACAGTTTTCAAAACCTATCTACTTACTTGAGTGCCAATAATATAACCGTAAGCAATTTCAGTGGCTATTTGTTATGACTTATACACTTGGTGCCTTCATAATTCAAAGAAGAATTCAAAAGCAACAAATCAAAATAACACTTATAGTTGCTGTATTTTCATGTACAAAATACAGCACAAAGCCAACTTTATTCCTACTTTCAGATTCATAGCTATTAATCTTTCCCGACATGTGCTATCCCCTCTGACTCCTGCTATCAGTATGATACATTACACCTGTACTGAGACTTGACACATGCATTTGAAACCATGTAAGGAATACAAATACCATGGACTGCAGAGTTCACTCGGGTCTTATGATATATGATGTAGCAGTAACAACACTGAAAGACCACGGGCTTATTAATAAAATATAACAACACACTGCTACTGTAACTGTTCATGCAACATTTCATAGTACATCATATCATTCTGGACATTGAATACAGTTTTTTCTGAGATGAATAAATTATGCTGTAGTCCTACATGTTGTTATGTGCTGTGATACAAATCTTTGAAAAAATAAAAATTGAAATTGTTATTTTTGACATCTGTATTTTTTTCATTTGAAGAGCAATTTGTTAATGTCAACTGGTCTGCTGGGGACTTGATTATATCTGTAATATTATATCCAAATCCTTGCACTGAATAAAAAGTGTGCATGTGAATTATAACATTGGCTATCAGTTACAAGACACTTTCCATCAATAACAACCAAATTATTTCTGTACATATTGTCAGTACATAATGGCCTAATGCATGTATACTTTGACCTTTTGATGTCCCCTGATATTAATCAGTGACAATAACTGCAGCAGATCTGATTGTGGGATTCCATTAGGACAGTTATAGTCATTAACAACCAGCAGTGGGACTGTCCTTGGTGCTGAATTATGGGGTACTGTTAGGGACAGTCTCACATAGAAATGGCTTACTTCCAAGAATAAGTGCATAATCATACATGTTGTAATTTCTAATTTCACAATCATGAGAGTATTTGTTTCATAAGCCCTGGAAGATTATTCTCTTAATAACTTAAGGTGGTATGGAAGGGTGGCTGAGGACTTTGGGGACATCCTAAAAATACTACTTAGGATTACCTATGGTCATTGATTTTTTTTGTGTGAGTACCTTAGTGCAAGATGATAATTTATGCAAATTTTGATGACGTAATCATGACGTCGTCTCGAGTTATGAGCCACGCCCCCTTTTTAGAAAAATCAATTTTTCTGGCCAGCGCTTTGATTTTTATTCACCATATCTTGTTGAAAGGCACACACTAGTAATAGGAACAAACGTATGCGAGCATTTTTTAATATCTCAAAGTGTTGATTTTTTATGAATTTTTTTTCGTAAATGTCAACAGTGCCATGCGCCAGCACCCCTCCCCAACATATAAAGCGGCGCAGTGTGTCGGCCTCGCATACGATTTTAGTTTACAAGCTTATCTTTCAAAAAATACCACCTTTTTGTCTCTTTCCATGAACATTTTTTCCACAGTTTCATTCTTAAAATGCTGTATATGTCGTAGGGGTTACATAATGTCCATTTTGAAGCCCGAAAGAGCCGAAATCGCCAATTTTTTGTCGCCATTCCAAGGGCGCTCATCCCTCCCACCGAAAAATGGGTCATTGGCCTGTCAGCACGCTGTATTTAGCTTACTGCGGCGCTATTTGGAAAAACAGGCCGGGGATATGTCCAGTAGAAAGAACAGCCAAAAAGAACGCTAAGATTTCGCGCGAGTAGGGGTCACGTGACTCACCCAAAATGGCGGATGGCGTGGCTTGTTTACGAGCGGAGAAAGCTGTGCGCTTTGCGCCAGCATTTGGGCCGGTAGACGATCTTTTTCACGGCCGTATCCTACGTAGATTTGCAGATGAAGGTTTATGGACTATTCTGAGACCTTATTGGAGAAAATCTGCCGGGGTATTCTGGAGTTACGGACTTATTTTTTAGGCCTACCCCCAGAAGAGATTGACGATCAGCAAGATCACAACACTGAAAAGTTAACGCGCGATACCGGAGTAGATAGCCCTGGATAACAAGCTTGCCCGGACGTGGTATGAGATTATGAGCGAGTATAATTTTGTTGATTATGTGAATTTACGTTGCACGTTGTCCTAGACTTGTGGAAATAATTTTCACGCACGACGTTCTATGTTCTATCTGAAAAGTACGGACTATCTCTGTAAATCTGTTGGAACTGATTTTTTTTGTAAGCGGCTACTATTTGCTGTATGCTGTAAATCGTAAAAGATTATTGTTAGCAGTTACCGGAAGATTATGTAAAAATTCTGCTGAAGTTTGTAAGTATCGTATTTTTTAATAAAAACGTAGATTTTATAAAAATTACTAGTAGTTCTTATCATGTCTGTTCACTAGAACGTAACGTTAACGTTTAGTAGTTACAAACGTGTTGCAGTCGATACAAACTCAGAATAATAAGACAGTGCACAGGTAGAGACGCGTTTTTATTCGGTAGAAAATTACTTAGTATGAGTTGTCTGTGAAAATCATGAAAGAACACAAAGGATAACGCCGCATAATGACGGCCGAGTATGAACTACCAAGCGCGGCTCTTTATGCATGCAGTGACCCGGTCCGCCAGGCCGCTCATAACTAAATCAAGATCTAACTTGTGGCTCAAAGCAGACAGCTTCGTTTCTTTTGGCAGTCGAATGTTTTTACATAGGAAGTTGTCAGATTATTTCTGGCGTTTTTGGTGATTTGTGTGGCTGCATATCTCTGGTTGTGTGTTGCAACTTGACAACATTTTGCCGATACGAAGTGTGATAAACAACGGAAACGGCTTGTGTTTTCAGAAAATTATTATTCTTTGCATTTGGCAGGTTTTTACCCAAAACGTTTTGCAAACAACTGACATCAAACGCTCAGTAAAACTCTCTTTTCCAGTGTCTTTTCCCTTTTTATGAAAGTGAAGCTCTCAGTTTACGCAATGATCAGCGAGCCTGATTGGTCGAGCGGCGGAGTAGCTTTTAAAAATAATGTGCACACCCCCACTGGGGTCTGGCTGGAGCGTGAAAAAAATGCACAATTTGGCGGTCAATTTGGCTGCCAAAATGTGGCCATAGTGACAAGACGAAAGAAAATTATAAAAATAGACCCAAAAGACTACCATATCAGATAGAGTTCGTAGTATTTCTAAATATGCCTCAGCTATCCTTCTGGACCACCTTAAGGCTAAAGATTATCAAAATAAACTCTGAAACTCAAAAGCCACGATAGATAATATATTTCAAAATATCTGGTCAAATTACAACAAAATATATTAACCAACAAGGAGAATGAGCAGACATGGAGAAAGGTCAGTATGCTAAAAATATCTGTTCACAACATGCAATGGCATTATCTATGGAGTGTTGGCAAGGTCGTGGAAGGTTGTGTCACGACGTGTGTGAAATCCAATCGCAAGCCATACAGATTTATTTCTCCCACATTTCAAAGGCACATTTTCAAACCAGGAAAAGATGAAAACAAAGGGCTAGGAGGAAAATAGGAATTCACAAGACTGTGAATGGATGAAATTTTACAAAATACATCTTCTAAATTGAAACAGGCATTCTTTCAGTGCATGACAGAGTAGGAGGGAGAAGAGACTTACTCCCAAGAGACCAAAACGTAGGTCAACCACTTCAAATAGCAGCGATGTACTGAATTATACATGGATGGATTCAGCAGAGCCCAGAAAAGCCCTGTTCAAGCAAAGGGATGAAAGTCTTAGTCCATTTTGTAATGAACACTAAGATGCAATTTGACAGCTGGTAGTGGTAGTGTCACCAGTATGGAAGAACTTAATCCAACAGGCGATTGTGAACTGGGTTTATACTGTAAGCCATACTGGTTAGGCATTTCAAGGTTATATTTTAAAATGATGGTAGCTTGTGCATGATACCTCATGCTCTATTGACTTGTCAGAACACAAATTGAATTTGGGATCACTACAGAATTGAGATTTGGGTATTCTAGGTGGTAATTAAATATAAATAGTCTTACCGGTAATGAAGAATAAACAATATTAGTTTTACCCCCTAATTCTTAAAATAATGTCAATATTGTACCATGTTGGAGGGACTCTTACACATTGCTAAATGTTGTGATGTTTCATATGCATTTGTCCTTAGTATAACCTTTGTATTGCTAACTTAAAGGCAGCCTTTATAGGCATGCGATTTGCATTGGTTATTGTGATTAGGAAGCAGGAGTTATCATACCTAAACCTGGTATCTGATATATTACAAGATAATTGTTACCATTCAGATAATTAACACCCTTAGATCTCCATGTAATAGTGCGTTATCCTTATCAGTATGCAGATTTACTGGTTTGTCCTAATCAGGACTTCTGAATGGCTTATTGATCCTTTGAGATAATAAGATTTGGTCCATGTTCATTAATGCATATACAGAGCCATCACTATTTAACTGCTAACGTGCACATTTCTCTGCATCTATATATCTACTGGTCTGCATTGTTATGCTACATAGAAGGGCGGTTGTACCGGCTATACAGATATTAGAATGGGAATTTTGTCAGTCAGTTAAATCCATTATCCTTTAAGCTTTGTCACCACAAATGTGCCCATAATTTCTCCCGGGTCGTTCCAATGCCATTATGGGCAGAAAGTGTTTTTGGTTCGTTGGTCACGCTATTCCTAAAAATCAATAAAACAACAAAATGTGTGGTGCCCAGAATTTCTCTTGAGTCATGACAG